TTAATCATTTTGTGACGACTTTCGCTTCACGAAAACCTCTCAGGGTAATTTGTTTGGAATTAAATTATCTCGAAGAAGCTTGGGAAGCTAAAATTTATCATTACAAAGACTTGTTAGTACCTGAATGTTCAGCAATATGATGAATTCTAGTTACATTAACGAGTGCCATGTCTTATCATGTCTGACTCGTGCTGTTAAAATTTCTGTTTAACATAAGTCTGAAGTGTTTGCGTTTAACCAACATGTGATATCCCCCATCCCGAAGGTGATATTTTCCTGCACAGGGGATTATGGAGCTATATTTAGATCTGATATTGTTTCGCACCGTTCATTGATTATTCCTGTGAAGTATTTACGAGAATCAACTTGCATTAACATAGCACTTCACTGCGTGATAGTGGGATGACAGATATTGCACAGCAGTATTTTAGCATGCGTATCTTTTCATGGTAACCCAGTGATAACATTAGCTTTTGAAGAGGAAATACAGCAATCGCTGTCATTCAACTGCTCTTATCAAGTACACTCTGGAGCAAAAAATGGTTTTCCACCACTTCGATTTAAAGTTACTTTCACATTTTCAGCTTAACGTTAGCTATGAGTGCCCAATTTTAAAGCTTTTGATTAATTCAAAGTTTGCTTTTATTATTCAATTTAATATTGTTAAAAAGATCATGCACTCCAATACTGCAATGTATTCTTAATTGTACCCACTGATGTGGCTGAGGGTAACAGCTGTTTTCCTTCCACGAAATTATTGAACAACGCGTTCTTTAATGATTTGCAGTGTCAGTACATGATTGTAGTTGCCGGAGGTGGGAGGCAATATTATTCTCATGTTGACCTTAGCCTGTTCGATGTTTCCAAAATAAGTGAAAGTTTCAGGCAAAGGTAACCCAACGAAACATTATGCGGATTTGTGTAATTATCGTCTCGTTCCCAATCGATAACGAGTGTACACAATGATACGTGAATTTCGTATGGCGAAGTTGTTTATATTTCAGTGAATTGAATAATGAATAACTATGACTGATTGAAACTTGTAGCAAACAAGTAAGCAAGCAATTGCAACGCAAACCCAAGATTTGAGTTCCGCCAGTTGCCGGTTCACAAGTGACAATGAACTCGTTATTAGAGGTGGGACGAACCTCGAAATGGAATCTTTTGACATTTGCGCTTCTAATGCAATCTAATAAATTAATAGTAATCCGACCTTTGTTGAACAGGCAAAGATGTTCTGTGTAGACTTGTGTAAAGAAGGTAATCAATAGGAGCGAATTGGGAATAAACCGTTGCCTTCAGGAAGAAGATTCACATAAGATTTTCTTTATACCCAAAAATGTTAGTGATGTAAATGTAAACGTGTGGCTGGAAACGAATAGGGGGAGCGAAGAGAACTGAAAACAGTTCGACCAGAACGCGCGTCTGCCCTGTTCGCATTCGTGGTGGAGCGATGTGGGCCAGTAGAGGCCGCCCTTATCGACCGCCTCCGCGCCTCCCCGTCCGCGCTTGCGCTGTGGGACGCCGGGCGCACGAGCGGCCGTGCCCGGCTGGGCGCTGCGGCAGCCGAGAGCAGGCCGACCCGGCCCGGCCCGTCGCGTCGCGTCGGCGGACACTGCCCGGGTATCGACCCCTGCGCCACCCCCGCCATCGGCCCCGCCGCCGCCCCGGAGGTCGAAACTGGGGCGCTCCCGCAAGCGCCGCCAGCCCTCTCAATGGACCTCGCTGCCCCGGAGCTCGGGGCGGAGTTCAAGCTCGTTCGCCACATACTCGAGCAATCGCTGGCGGAAAGTTGATACGCTATGCAACGTCGCGACGATAGCAGCATGTTGTTCACGAGGGAAAAAGTTGCACGTCTCCTTGGGTCCGACACCCCATCTCTAGCGATTTTTTCTTCCAATTTACGTACCGGGAGAGGTGATTCAGGGCATCAACTGATGTCGCTGCAATGCCTCTGACCGGGAGGTCCTACGTTCGAGTTCCGACCGACAGACAGCTTGTCGGCTAGGTCGAGTTCAGTTGCTGTGTAGAGTCTTTCAGCGGCCGGCTGCTCTGATCGGTAGTTTTTCGTGGCTAACACCAGGCGATTGCCGGTTGGGCACCAGGCTAATGCCGGAGCAGTACACACGGGCAACCCGCGTTCTTCCCTTCTCCTTGTCCTATCCTCGCCCCGTGCACATTTACACGAACGTAGAGCCTGTCTCAGCTGGGGCGATGACCAGCTAGTGAGAGGTACCTAGTTCGGGAAAACCCCTCTAGCCGACAGCAGATCGGTGCCGGATCTCGCCATCCAACGGGGGAAGATCAACTTCTGAGGAAAAACGTGTCCTAAACTTACGGCACTAATAACAGCTGTTGAAGCGCTCGGAATCACTATAAGTCAATAAATTCAGTTTCCGTTGCTCCATTAAGTTAATTAAAAAGTGGTCTCTTGTCTTGCTTTTACCCAATATCCAATATTTCCTTTTTCGGCGTTAAATAAAATACATATATGAATTTTAATTCAAGAATAGTTCAATGTGTACTATTACTCCGTGCGAGTTGCTCTTTCAATCAGTTGTTTTCTCAACTTCACTTCGACGCAGCGATTCTTTCAGAACTTTGCTTGGAAAAGGTCACTCGAACCTGTTGTTAACATTATAGTTAACCATTGGAACGGTGGTGTTCGTTTCGGGAGCCGGCAAGAAGCTTCTGAGAACTAGTTTTCTTGAGTAAAAGATATTCGTTTTCCAAAACTCATAAATTGAGATTGCAACTTGAAAGATATGCCTTTTTCTTTGTATTATGTGTGTGGAGATCGAAGAATCTTCCTTAAGATTCTGTCGTTGAAGTCGATCTAATGTTGCTGTGATTTTATGTACGAAATTATTTACAAATACTGTTATGTGAACGATTTCCTTTCCCTTAACGAGCTCTATCTCCGTCCCCGGTACGGAATTAGCAACTGCAGGATCTGATGCGGAAAATTATTTGCAACTTCAACGTGCTACTTAGTAATTTATTAGGTTAGTAAAATGGGTTGATTACTTTACATAAATACTTTTCAATAATCCCATTATTTTTTCCGTGTATCTTCGTGCCTCCGAACAGTGTGGGTACAGGATGTTTCAGAATAAATGTTATAAACTTCTAAGGTATGTATAGGGGTTAAAAATGGTCACGTTGTACCAAAATATAGCGGGAAATTGAATAACTGAATTGTAAGCATTTACACCGGTGACATTTGCCCCTGATTTTTAGACAATTCCGTATGTACAGATGTTCGGCAGGCGCAAGAAATATCCTTCACTGCATTCAAACGTGACCTATCGAACATTGTGCATTAGGGTTGCCTAAAAATTAGGGGCTGATGCCACAAATATAAATCCGTATAGCTCCGTCGTAGTGTGCGATATCCCTCAATTTCGATCCCCCTCTGCATGCCCTAGAATTTTTGTAACATTTACTGTGAGATAACCCAAATGATTCGTTGGGCATAGACTACTTATCCAAAAAGAAAAAAGAAAGTTGATAAACCTACATTGCGTGCTTGAAACGGTTGCACCTTTGCATCGGTTACAAAAACAATGACCTGAATATAGAATAGTCACGATAGTGATAAGTGATTGGGATATGTTTCATGAATTATGTGTTATCTCGAGTTCTTTTTGTGACATTTTCCTAAAGTATGAAATAAAATTAATTTTTCAAATTGTGTAAGTTCTATAAAATAAAGGGTGTTTTTGATAATGAATTATCGCACATTTATACGAGTTGATTTTAGACATTTTGAGCTTACCACTCATTAAAATCTTCGGGACAAAATTAGCAACAAACTGAGAGTAAATCAGTAAAATGACAGTTCATTTTTCAAACGGAAGGATTCTGATAAACGAATATCATAACTCTTAAGCCTCAGGTTGCTAATAATTTTTTTTTCTGCGTATTTTTGAGTTGAATCATTTCTTTGTATGTTTGGAGAACCATACATAGGCAACCCTACTTGTTTTATGTATATCTGAAGAATTCAAAATCACTTTGACCTTTAGATGTTATCAGATGACTACTGTGATGCGAATCTGTTTTGAATTGCAACAAGTATACGTGAACCTACGCAGAACCGTGCACTTTCGCAAACAATGGGAAGGCGTCCATTAGTTGTAGAAAAAGCCACTGGGATTCTAGCCAGAAAGCGGCGGTGTGTACGCCGGAGCTGGCTAAAACCGCCTGCGTCTATACGAGAACCGCCTCGAACTGTTCTGGTAATTCAATTTCCTCTGCTGTTGCTAACCGCACGTGATCTCGGACGCTCGAATAATTTTCCATATTTTGCACTGCGTTGCGTTCCCTCTCCCAATATATTCCTTTGCTACGGCTTCCATTTAATGCAATAAATAGATAGTATGATAGTTCTAATTGTATAAAGCCTTATAGAAAAAATTGATCGTAGAGTTTGTCCGTAAAACAAAGGTGAGATTTAGTGATTATTTAATGGTGTCTGAAAATCACATAATAGACATGGAAAGAGGAAAGTGTGCTGAACTGTTTGTCCTTAGACCCTGTTTAATGAAGTTCCAGTCGTCATTGGCCTTCTCAGCATCATAGACGTGGAGTGGTGCCGTTTCCCGCGAGGGGGGGGGGAGGTTTGAATGCGAGTCCAAGGAAGGCAAAGGGTGCCTCGAAGTTTTAGCGTAGAGGCTTTTGGTGGGCGAGATTCGGTTATGCGAAAGATTTTCGGGACTCCCGCAAAGAGACCAGGTGAATACAGCAGAGTCCTGGAAGCAGGGCAAGCGGCACGCAACTGTTCGTGCCTTGCCTTTCTCCCTGTGCTAGGTCTTGGGAATGCTTCTCTTCGTTCGTGCGTGAACAACCATTGAAATGTATTGTCACAAATTTCCAAGGGTAATTATGGACGAGGTTCCAATAATCGAGAGATGATCTGTGGGACTGCTGTACATTTATGGCGCTCATGCAAAGACCAGAGAGGCGGCCATTCCTGAAGAGGTTGTGTTTGTGCGCAGGCATCCGCTACTCCATGGACGTGACCCGCGACGAGGTGAAGGCGCTGTCGGCGCTGATGACGTTCAAGTGCGCCTGTGTGGACGTGCCGTTCGGCGGCGGCAAGGCCGGCCTCAAGCTCAACCCCAAGACGTTCAGCGAGCACGAGCTGGAGAAGATCACGCGCCGCTTCACCCTCGAGCTCGCCAAGAAGGGCTTCATTGGTGAGTGCCCTCCCGTACCCAACGCCCGCCCACGCACCTGCCCCCGTGGCAGCCGCCATCCCGGCACCTGCCACACCGCCGACCGCATCCCCGCTTCCTCTTCCGCTCTCAACTCGGCCTGTGCTTACACCTCTGCCTGCGCCTCTGCCTCCGGCTGTCAGCGGTTATCACCAACCCCACCCCTCTTTTTCTTCTTAGGCCATTATTAACGCTTCATTGTGACTGACAACATTGTTTAGTATTTTTTCTTTGTGTCAAACTACTAGGTTTCACAAAACAGATGCCCAATGTTTTTTTTTCTTATTTAAAACCTTCCACATATTTTTCAAGGTTTTTGAATTCAATCTTGATTTTTATACTTCCACTACTTCAGTAATAACAATGTTGTAAATAATTTCATTGAAAATTTTAGCTTCGGAATAAATAAGCGTATAAGTCACACAGTTTCATGGCAAATAGTATAGTAAGAATCCATGCCAAGGAATGATAAAACCAATAAGTAAGAAATAGTTTAGGGTCTGCAATTCTTCAAAGATGGGATTACACAAAAGCATGAGTTTTGTCGCAAACACATTTGGTTTGCCATGTAACAATTGTTCTTAGGATCTTCCTTCTTTTTTCATGTTGATCCTTCAATATTCTTACATCGCATACTCCTTATGTATATTTACACCTTTTTATTCACATCACACACATTTCTATTCATCTTTTTTGCTTAACTCTACTGTACAGTGTAATGATAAAATCTTCTTTTAAATGTAACTGAAGTTTTTTTTTGATTTCCAGTGCTTTGAAGTTTTCCTAATATAATTTGTTTTGTTTGTGTTTGTTCAGGACCTGGTGTAGATGTCCCAGCTCCTGATATGGGTACTGGTGAGCGTGAGATGTCATGGATTGCTGACACATATGCGAAAACAATTGGTAAGATATTAAAAGATGTGTTTTATTGAAGAATAATTAGGTGTTTTAGTTCAGATTATGTTCATAGGAAATTAACTTAACTTTTTTTCTCTCTATTATTTCCTTTCAATGTTCTTTGACTACAAAACCCACCTTTTTCATAGAAGGTCAATTTTGATTATTAGTTTCATAATAAGTTTATCAAAATATGAAAGGGTTTGTTTATTTACACTAAAAACAGTATTGCACACCTTTTTATTAATGCAAAAAGAAATAATGTAAGTACATCAACCCAATAATCATGTACAAATACCTGTGAACTGTAAATTAAATTAAAACTTTTCCAAAGGAGTTGTTGAAGTTCAATATAACACATTTTCAATTTCTTTTCTTTCTTTGTTTTAAAAATGTTGCTGTTTTTTTTCTGAATATTTCAGTATGAATCCAAAGTGATGATGTGGGGAGTGAAAATTCATTTTAATGTAAAGAATTTTATTTAATACTTGTTTGGGTTGTTGCTGTTGGTTTTTGTTTTGTTTGTTTGTTGTTGTTATAAAAAGATGAACTTTTCAGAATAATATTTTGAATGACAATTATTTTATTTTTAATTGCTCAAAATAATTTGGTAACAATCACACCAGTGGTACTAATTTTTTTATAAGACATGCAGTTATTAAGTTTCAGTTTTGTATAGAAGATTAAATAATATCATTTGGATCATATTTTCAAGTTGTATTTTCTTACAGGGCATCAGGACATCAATGCCCATGCTTGTGTAACTGGTAAACCGATCAACCAGGGTGGCATTCACGGTCGCATCAGTGCTACTGGCCGTGGAGTTTTCCACGGTTTGGAAAACTTTATCATGGAAGCAAATTACATGAGCATGATCGGCACTACGCCAGGATGGGGAGGAAAAACTTTCATTGTTCAAGTAGGTGAATTAATTCTCACAAAAACCAATAATGTTTTTAATCAGTTGTAATTTTTTTCAATAAAGATCTAATATTCTCTTATATTTTTCTAAAATGCATACTATGCATTCCAAAATCGAAGTGCTTAACTGAACTTTGTGTATCTTCTTAAGTTATTCTTAAATCTCAAATGAACTCAGAAATTCTTGCAAATTTTAGGAGAGGATATAATAGGAAGATGGCAATCATTTTTCCAGATATGGAACTGTATGTAAGTTTATGATGTGACAACCACAGTTACAATTCATTGATATATGAGGGTTGTTCAATAAGTCCTTAGAAAAAACATTTTTTGGAGTAGAATTTTTTTTTATTTTTCAACCTAATCTTCTTTCAGCTTACATTTTTCTAAGTGCATTTCCAAAATTTTTAAGCTGTCCAAACAGTAGGATTTTGGAAGCTCCGCAAAATAGACATTTGTTTAAGCACTGTCTTTCTCATTAGACGAAAACGTTTGCCCTGTTGAGCCATTTCTTCAAGTTAGGAAATTAAAAAGTCACTGGGGACCAAGTCAGGTGAATACAATGGATGTAATAATTAGAACATTCCATACTTTTGGTTATCACAACTGCACAGGTATGCACCCGTGCATTGTCTTTATGAAAAAAGATCTTTTTCCTTTTCAGATAAGGGTGTTCCTTGATTTCTTCACCCAGTCGATACAATTATGAATACAAAATACATACATAATGTCAGCTTAATACTCACCTGATATTGTGTTTCCCTTTTCCAAGTAATCGATGTAGATGATTCTGCAAACATCCCAAATGACTGTGGCCATAACCTTGCTGGCCGATTTCACAGTCTTTACCTTCTTTGGAGCCCATTCACCTTAAAAAATCCTCTATCTTGTTTGTTCTTTTGTCTCTGAAGTGTAGTGATGTATCCATGTTTCATGATTAGTAATGCATCAACCCATAAACAACTCAACATTGTGACGTAAAATTGCCAAATTAATCTTAGAATTGACCACATGTCTAAGTTTCTTCTCAATTGTCAGCAAACTCAGCACCAATCTTGCCAAGATTTTTTTCACACCCAATTTTTCGTGCAAAGTTGTAGCGACTGTGCCTTGTGATATGCCTGTAGCTTCAACGATTTCCCACAGTTTGGCAATCACTTAAAATCATATCATGGATTTTGTCAATCATTTTGGGGGTAGACACTACCGCAGGGCATCCGGAACAATGTTCGTCTTTTGTGGTTGTCTGACCACGTTTACACTCATTCACACAATTGTAAACAGTTGCAAACATAGGAGCAGATGTGCTATGAACTTCATGCAACTCAGCTTTGATTTCTGTCAGCGTTAACCATTTCAAATACGAGTGTTTAATCACTGCTCGAAACTAACCTTTACCAATTTTTTATAAACAAATGCAAATTGTTTACTTCAATCGTCAACAACAATGAAACTGTGGTGGATACAGGTGACACTCAAACAGCTGACTAGTTAAGTGTGCTGCTTACTCGTAAAAATTCATTTCCAATACAATGATCACCATATCTTGGATTTTCTAAGAACTTATTGAACTACCTCCGTATATTGAATGATGTTACTTGTTTGCAAAGCAAGAGTTACTTCTGGGATATGACACCAGGAAAAGCACTCTTATAAATTAGGACTCTGAAGCTTAATAAAATTGAAATGAAAAGTAAACAGATGATTAAGTTATTTTTAACATCTACAATGGATATGACAGAAACAAATGCGTTATTATGTAACGGGGATTTTCAAAAATGAAAAGGTCTCAGAATGAGTTTTGAGTTCAAAATTTAGAATTTGTTTTTATTTGCATTTTTTAGTCTTTAGACTTTTCTGTTTGTAATGTTTTTTTAATCATGTCAATACATTTACTATAAGTATTTTTATTTACGTTTACATTTACTATAAGTATGTTATTATAAATAAATTTTGTTCTTCACGGTGCAATTTTGTTTTGGTGCTACGAGTATGTTTGGCAGAGAAATAGTTTTGATGATGATAAATACAGTAAATTTGTACCGTGAATGTTTTGAACTTATTGATATATCTATTTTATCTGATATTTTGTCAGATAATGTGTTGTGCAAAAATTGTGTAACATCTGGCTTGAAGATAATTGTAAAATTTATGAAGCTAATCATAAGCTATGGTGCAGGTCTCTTTTGATGTCTGAAGTTTGAAGAGTTTCCCATCAATCTGTTTTTTTAATATATAAGGAACATTTTCTCCGATTCTAATTATGACAGGAAGCTGAAATTTACAGGATTTATTTTTACTAATAATATACATAAGCTGAATAAAATTTTTTAAATTGAGTTAATATTTGTACATTTTATTCAACAAAATGTCTTGTTGTTCAGGAGGAAAAACATAACATTTGAAAAAAATGTATCTCATAAAATAAAATATTACTTGAAAAACTTTTTATTCAGGTTTTACAAAATATTCATATCTTCCTCTAGTTAAAATTGAACTTCCTATGTTTAACAGTTTCTGAGTAAATGTACCTTAAGCATCACCCAATTTAACATTAGTAAAGCTAGTTTATTTGTAGCCATCTCCATGTCTTGCAGTGTCAAACTCTTTTTTGATCATCTCTTATTTTATATACCTATTGTAATATATAACAGAGAACTGTTGTGACATAACTGTCCTTTTATTGTGCATCCATCCAAGAAGAAAAGTAAATTTTTTCTAAAAACACTTTTTTTTTCAAGTAACCAAAAGTTATTTTCAATGGATTACAGCACCTATAGAAGTGAGCCATTTGATTCCTCTTGAAAGGTCAAATCAGTTGGCACAATTCTTAGCAAATTCCTTCCAAGATATTCTGAAAGAATCCAAAAAAATCACAGGTTTTTCATGGTTTCAGTGCACCGATATTGGTGAAATGCTGTAAACACTATACTCTCTTTCTGGCATGTTCATGAATTGTTATGATTAGGTTTAAATATCATCTGATAAATCTAATTTTGTTATGAAGCGAAATACTAAATGAGTATAGTAATCAATTCTTTTTCATACAACAATCTATGTCTAAAATTCTACAAGACGTGTAACTGATATAAGTTTAAAATTTAATTTGCCTATGAACTTGCTAAGCACAAATAAAAACTTTTTAACAAAAAAAAAAAAATCTATCAGTGACACTTTACTAAGCTAGAACAAGTTATTTCTGTAGGATTTTTTAAGCAAAAGATCTGAATTTACACGATACAAACTTTATTTTCTAGGGTTTTGGCAATGTGGGTCTCCACACCATGAGATACCTGCACAGAGCTGGTGCTGTTTGCATTGGTGTCATTGAGTGGGATGCTTCTATTTATAATGCTGAGGGCATTGACCCAAAGGTGAGTTATTAATATGACCTTAATTGAATATTACCATAATCACTGATGTAATAACTTAAGTTGCAGCCTTTTATACTCTTCTTAGCAGAGGAGCTTGTAAGTACAGGGTGCGCCAGAGAAACTTACTTATTTGAAAGGTCAATAAAAACAAAAGTACTTCAGTTAT